GGCCAGTGCGTTAACCACTGGTAATAACTTGTGTTGACTCACTTCGTGAGTCAACACTCGTGCACTCGGAAGTATTCCAGACTCTTGGAACTCTTTATTTAACTCAGCTTGTTATGTGATACACTTATGTAAATGTACTACCAGTCATGACATTACAGTTCATTGCACTGTAACGCAGACGTAAAGTATCCCAGGCCCAGGATATCTTACCTCAGAGTATATGTTCCCACGTAACTTATTCGGATGTATTGATGCATAATAGTACACAATAGGTCTACCACACTTGTAGCTATAAACACATTGTGAATAACTATATGGTTATAACTAACCATAATTTTTTAAACGTTTGGACCGGTAAGCCAGCGGAAGGCCTCAGTCAGATAACCAAAACCTCCAACGGCGGGTCATCATCTGACTAAGACTGGCGTCAGGAAACACTTGTCCTGTTTCCTGACGAACCTTACCTAACCTAACCTGCACATCATGGAGGGAGAAACTCAACACTTCACTATACACTACGCGGTGCCATGGAGTCTACAAACCTTTATCTATTATTGTCTGTCATAAGAAGGGAAGTATTTTCCCTTAAGAGACTATGTTAACGGAAGTACAAATTCTTTAATGAAAAGTTTGGTCTATTATTAAGAGTTAGGTAATTCTCATCCTCCTCAAGACTTGTGACTTAATGTGTTTCGTTGATAAGCATTCCTTGTTTTCTTCTTATTTTGTTTTTATTTCTAATTCTGGTTTAAACCGATATTTGTGTTAATTTTGTAATTAATAAAAAATTTCTTTTTAATTTATATTTTTTTATCTATGATTTTTTACAAATATATTTTTGCTTTTCTTGTATACTAATTTTCCAACACAAGGAATGGGAACCACTGATCTTTCTTGACATTTATGTAATTATAAATATTTTCAATCACATCGTATTTTAGAAGCATCGAACAACATCGTGTAAACTCAACATTAGCGGATATTACCCTCCTACACTCACACGTCCGAATCTGACAAACCATGTTTTAGGGAAGCTAAGTAGAAACAGTTAGTATCTCTAACTGATATCTCTCTGTACAAAATAGATGGCATGTTTACTACATTATCCACAAAACCTAGAGAAGTGTTTTCTTCAAGGAAAGTTGCCTTAATGCTAATGAAGGATTCTGTATGCAAAGATTCTGAGCAGCTCTCTCTTCCTTCTGATCAAGTATAATTATCCATCGTTTCCAGAGCGCTGTATGACCCCCTTCAGGTTCAGTGATTCCTGTATTGCTCTGAAAGTGTTCCTTGTTTTAAACTAATGTCGTGCAGTTACATCACCAGCCGGGGGCCTGCTGAAATGGCCAGAAAAAATTACTGTCATACTTATTTTAGCCATCACATTATAAAGGTTGACTGCAGGATCTGCAAAACTTGGTCTCCTGTTTTAATGTCGCCCATTTCCTGAGCAAGTTATTAACGTTTATTATAAATTTTTTCTGTATATATATATATATTTATATATATATATATATATATATATATATATATATTTTAATATATATATAATAATATATATATATATATATATATATATATATATATTAAATTATATTATGCAATAAGATCACAGTAAACAGGTGATTTCAGAATATGCAAAACAACCACTGTGAAAGAATAATGAAATTCCAAGCGCTTTCGTGACTACTCACATTATCAAGGAACAATAAAAATGATGCATCAAAGGAAGACAATGGTAAGACAATCAAAAAGAAAAGGAAGAGGCAAGGAATAGGAGGACTGGTCGAATTTCTTGTATCAGAAGCACATTTCCGGCTTGAGGAGGCTTGCACCGGCATCAAGGAACTTCACTTGACGGGAGAAGACGGGGGAAAAAAAAAACAATGTCATAGAATAATAAAAAAAACATTTGAAAGGGCAATAAGCAGTCTTCAAGCATTATAAAGCTCTTGTACGTGGCCCACCTTGAGTACTGTATTTATGCATGGAGACAACACCTACTTGTGTATAACTGTAGTACAGAAATGTTCAACAATGGGCAATGGAAATGATCCCGGAAACAAGTCAGTTCAGCGTCCAGGATAGCCTTCCGGCTACAAAACTGACACATCTTCAAGCATTGAACGATAGCGATAATCTCACTGAGACATCTAAGATGTTGAACGAATTAAATTATGCAAACCACGACAGTTTCTTCCAAAAATCTTGTAAGACGTATGTGAGAGGAATGGCAAACTCACCAAATTGCAATGATGGTGAGAAAATGAAAAAGTTATCTTCCAGCGAGAGATATCATTAATATACTAGTATATATATATATATATATATAATTATATATATATATATATATATATATGTATTATATATATATATATATATATATATATATAATAAAAATATATATATATATATAATATATATATATATATATATATACGACTGCAATTTCGGAATACCGTTCGCATAACTATGGATAATTTACTCTTTGGTTTGCGTGAACAAACAGTATGGTGACGAAGGTTGTAGTGTACTGAATAATTTGCGGAACTACTTTGGAACTTATGACATCAGCGAATATTCAATGTGAGTCCCGGTTCCAGCTCACGCTTGCTCGTGGTGCATGACATCTCCAGACGCCGGTTCGAACCCCGTACATACTCTAGATTATAATTTGAAATTGCACGTTATTCTGAACTTCAGAGTCATGGTCATGAATTATTTACGTGGCGGCCACCACCTCTAGTGGCCTTGAGGTGGACAGGAAGTCCCTGGTGTGTGCAGGGTCGAGTTATTTTTACCTGAGGAGATCTTTCCAGCGGAATTCAAGAGTTAATTTGGTTTCAGGATCGTTGGCGGAGAAACTATTTCATGGATATCTCTCTCTCTCTCTCTCTCTCTCTCTCTCTCTCTCTCTCTCTCTCTCTCTCTCTCTCTCTCTCTCTCTCTCTTCTCCTCTCTCTTCTCTCTCTCTCTCTCTCTCTCTTCTCTCTCTCCTCCTCTCCTCTCTCTCGCTCGCTCTCTCTCTCTCTCTCTCCTCTCTCTCTCTCTCTCTCTCTCTCTCTCTCTCTCTCTCTCTTCCTCCTCTCTCTCTCTCCTCCTCTCTCTCTCTTCTCTCGCTCTCTCTCTCTCTCTCTCTCTCTCTCCCTTCTCTTCCCCCTCTTCTCTCTCTCTCTCTCTCTCTCTCGCGCTGATCCTCTCACAGAAGGGTCTTTGACTCCTGTGAGGAGCTTTTGATGCTTCTGTGGGGCTCTTTATCTAAGAAATTAGATCTGTCCTCCCATTCCTTGAACAGAACCAGGCCCTGCATGACCGCTACAAGCGTTTCCCTTGTATACTAGTATATTAATGATATCTCTCGCTGGAAGATAACTTTTTCATTTTCTCACCATCATTGCAATTTGGTGAGTTTGCCATTCCTCTCACATACGTCTTACAAGATTTTTGGAAGAAACTGTCGTGGTTTGCATTATTTAATTCGTTCAACAACTTAGATGGTTCAGTGAGATTATCGCTAACATTCAATGTTTGAAGATGTGTCAGTTTTGTAGCCGGAAGGCTATCCTGGACGCTGAACTGACTTGTTTCCGGGATCATTTCCATTGCCCATTGTTGAACATTTCTGTACTACAGTTATACACAAGTAGGTGTTGTCTCCATGCATAAATACAGTACTCAAGGTGGGCCACGTACAAGAGCTTTATAATGCTTGAAGACTGCTTATTGCCCTTTCAAATGTTTTTTTTATTATTCTATGACATTGTTTTTTTTTTTTCCCCGTCTTCTCCCGTCAAGTGAAATTCCTTGATGCCGGTGCAAGCCTCCTCAAGCCGGCAATGTGCTTCTGATACAAGAAATTCGACCAGTCCTCCTATTCCTTGCCTCTTCCTTTTCTTTTTGATTGTCTTACCATTGTCTTTATTGTCTTCTCATTCATTCTCACTATCGTTGTCTGATTCTACAGATTTAGCGCTGCGCCTTAAATACAGTAATAATAATAATAAATCACGTCCGTTCATACAATAACACACACACACACACACACAACACACACACACACACCACACACACACACACACACACACACACACACACACACACACACACACACACACACACACACACATATATATATATATATATATATATTTATATATATGTATATATATGTGTGTGAGTAGTCACGAAAGCGCTTGGAATTTCTATATTCTTTCACAGTGGTTGTTTTGCATATATATATATATATATATATATATATATATATATATATATTTATATATATATATATATTATATATATATATATATAATATATATATATATATATATATATTTATATATATATATATATATATATATATATATAATTTTTAAAACTATTACCCCGAGGTCCTTTTCTCTCTTAACAACAAGTCAGTGTTTATAGTGTGACAGCTGTGAGTTGTGACATCGTGCTGCTCTTGTACTCATGACGACATATATTTATCTGTATTTAGCAGCTCGTGTTGGTCTTTAGTTATGAAAGTAATACCCTCTAATTATATTACAGATATCATGAACAAGTATTGTCTGAGACTACATCATTGCAGCACACCCTGCAATGTATTATTCCAGTCACTGATGAAGTGACATTTTGCCAACTAGTATGATGGCAGACACAGACTGAAGAACAAATTTTTATTGCGACAACGTTTCGCAACTTTGTCAATCAAAGCTTCTTCTGCAAATTGGGTCTCTGTCTCTATATTTCAGTGATGTTCCTCTCAGTTTATTATTACGCACTGTTTCCCATTTTTCAGCTGATGTTTTGCATATTCTAGAACTTTATAGTAGTGATCACACGAGGTATAACTTTAAGATATAATCTTAAATGTAGCACCTTCGATCATATTTGAAAATAAATATATTCAACGGTTAGTTTTAAACACGTCGGAGTCGAGAAGCGCCTCAGGGATGTGAAGGGGAGAGTCGAGCAGCGCCTCAGGGATGGGAAGGGGAGAGTCGAGCAGCGCCTCAGGGATGGGAAGGGGAGAGTCGAGCAGCGCCTCAGGGATGGGAAGGGGAGAGTCGAGCAGCGCCTCAGGGATGGGAAGGGGAGAGTCGAGCAGCGCCTCAGGGATGGGAAGGGGAGTCGAGCAGCGCCTCAGGGATGGGAAGGGAAGAGTAGCCCCGATTTCATGGATTAGAAGTTCTTGACTAGCTGCAAGGAGTCCTCTAGTGAAGAGCTAAATATTCAGAGTTACATGTACTGTAGCCTGAGCCATGACCAGGTAATAACACTAGCACTGAAGACCTGTTCATGGCTTAGTAAGTCCCCATTTGTAGATAAAAGTACTTTGTATTCTCCCTCGTCCATGAACTTAGAACTTATTGTAGAGCAAAAATTACAACTTATAAATTTGTGTAGCGTTCATAGTTGTCAGTCAGGAATTCACTGCCTCTACCATAACCGTTGGTAGTGTGTGGTAGTTCAGACGGGACAGGTCTCCATTTGGTGTCAGACTAGATGCAAGTTCGAAGGCGATTGGTCTTTGAGGTCTCTAGTTGTCGCAAAAGGTGTTCATGGAAAAAAAAAAATTTAGGTGATAAACCGTGCAACGATCAGCCATATTATTATGTCAGAGAATTAAGTAATACTGGATCATTCCCAGAAAGCGATCGTTTACCTGAATAAAGGAAGAAAAGCAGATGATACTGAGCTATACAGAGATGATCCCCCTGTTCATCAATGATGCTGATGAGAGGCTCTTGATCCAAGGATATGGACTTATCCTCTCTTTTCTTGGATTGACTGAATGACTCGCATTCCCTCAGTCACTGTATGACTCATTCTGGTTTAATGTTCCCCCTATGATTATAATAATAATAACAGCGTGTAAAGCCAGTTATCTGCTATGTATACTGTGAGCTAGTAAACAAAATTAGAGTTAAGAGAGTAGTAGAATTCAACCTGAGGTCATACTTGCTACCTAGAAAGCAATAACAGTCATTCGTAGGACAGAGAAGGGATTTTTTTTTTATGCAAGACTGGGGAAGGCAGTGCGGGTGTAGAAAGCATTTAAGATCGTTGTACAAGGTTAGTGTTTGAAGTAACTAGTGAAGAGCAACGAGTTGCACTGGGCCGTGGGAGAGGATTCGTCAGTGAAAACCTAAATTCTTAAACGCTAGACTTGCAAGCTCAAAATAAATTCACAGAATATTTTTGCGTACTAATCCAACGTCAGTTAATACTTCAGTTACAACATTTTAAAATTCGTCTACCTAGACAGCTTATTTTATACAGATGTTTAGGCAATGCAAGAAAGTCAAAAATTTCCAAATGATTCCTTGAAACGGATCTCTATTGTTATATGTTCCTAACGGGACAATCCATGTGCATTGACATTCATGCATCATACGAACTAATGTTTCTCGTAATTTATCTTTGGCTGCTACGCACCTCTCATATTTTCGTAAATAATAATCAAGCTGCAGACAGCGCAGGCTACGGTAGACAGGAGGCAGTAGCTGTCATATATAAGCAGCTGTACACCTGTATTCTCCAGCACTGTTTCTTTGCTCCTCATCCACACTGCTTCTGTAACTATGGTAAACATCTCTTGAAATGTTTAGTAGATATCTGTAATATCAGACAAACTGCAAGTCATCGATTGTTTCTTTAAAAAAATATCACAATATTTTAATATTGCAGCAAGTCCTGTACGTGATGCTGGGCATGGCGGCCCTGATGCTCCAAGTTTGTTTTGGTGCATTTATTGGAGGCTTTGGAGGCCTCGGTGGCCTTGGAGGATATGGTGGCTTTAGTGGTTTTGGTGGTTATGGTGGATATGGTGAGTAGAGATTCATTTTAAAATAAACTCTTTCTCAACAATGTTCGCAATGTTGCACTTGGAATGTCGTGACCACATTATTTTTACATATCCTACAAACAACCCATTGCAATTCATTTTGTGCTTACAGGAGGTTTCCGTGGATTTGGTGGTCTGGGCCGGTTCGGGGGATTTGGCCCGTTTGGTGGTTTGGGTGCGTTCGGTGGACTTGACCCTATCGGTAGGTGTTAGGAGTTATATTGTTGTATCTTCTTGTTTATCCTACTGATGAAGGAACCTCTATCACTTCTAGTGCTAAATGACCCTCCATGTATTTAGCGCTGTAAGTAACGAAGCTTAAATAAGTCCTTGTGTGTCTGGCCTTAAGCAATAGACGGGGGTTTTCATGTCTTCATAATGTAATATTTATAGTGTTATGTGTTTCATAATTTCAGGGTATGGTAAGTGAGGTTGGTAGCGTCTCCCACTACCTCAGCAAGGTGACCCGTGGGTCAGCAAGGCTTCTAGATAGTTAAGCCACCGGCTAGAAGCTAGCCAGATTTGCTAGCTAGCCATTCGTCTCTGATTGTCACCATATGAATAAAAATCTGCAAATTGAAATCCTGTTTTTTATTATCGCTAAAAATGGATATTTTTTTATTAATAAAAACATGTCAATTATAAATAAAGACTAATCTAACTTGTACTGAGACATGAAAGGTGTACTCTTGTCTTAGTCTTCTCTAGTACCTCTAGACGTCTAGACACGTGGATTTCTTGATTTGAAAATACTTTCTGCTCTTGCTAGAGCTTTTCTTTTTACATTTAGCAATTTATACAGGAAAAGGGGGTTACTAGCCTCTCGCTCCAGGCATTTTAGCCGTCGCTCCTAATTGGTGGTTGGATGTGGTTGTTCACTCACACAGTAACGCTATTGTAGGAGTGGTGGTTGAATGTGGTTGTTCACTCACACAGTAACGCTATTGTAGGAGTGGTGGTTGGATGTGGTTGTTCACTCACACAGTAACGCTACTGTAGGAGTGGTGGTTGGATGTGGTTGCTCACTCACACAGTAACGCTATTGTAGGAGTGGTAGTTGAATGTGGTTGTTCAGTCACACTAACGCTATTGTAGGAGTGGTGGTTGGGTGTGGTTGTTCACTCACACAGTAACGCTGTTGTAGGAGTGGTGGTTGGATGTGGTTGTTCACTCATACAGTAACGCTATTGTAGGAGTGGTGGTTGGGTGTGGTTGTTCACTCACAAAGAACCAGGAGCCGGTGCTGATGACCCTGCCAGTCGCAGCAACTGAAGCAGAAAGAAGAAGGACGAGGTTGGTGTCTGGCAGCAGATCAGCATCAATTGTAAATTGAATATTATCCATTTTGAGATTATTAGTGTTCCAAACTATCATCAGAGGGTAAACGAGATGTCTTGAAGCTATTTACTCTTTCTCATCATTAACTTTAAATACGTTGTAAAATATCACAATATGTTTTTAAGAGGGAAACTTTCATTCTTAGAACCATTGCTTTCTCTTACGTGATTGTTTTTGTCGATGTAAAACTTCAACAGAGACTCAAAAGACGAATCGACTAACACGGAATAGAGATGGAGAATAAAAGCCACAATGCCGTGACTGGAACAATACACAAATCGCCCAGACTTTGGCGAGGAAGCTTAAGATGACGTTCCAGATAATAAAAAAATGAATATTTTACTGATGACATATATAATAACCTTGGAAACAGTATAGGAATTTCCAGTAAAAATCTTAATTTTTTTGTGAATCGATATTTTTTTTGAGAAATTCGACAATTTTTATCTTCCAGTAAAGTCACGTTAAAATTCCAGACAATTTAATGATCTGGAACTCATTTAAAACACAATGAAAATAGGTGTAAGTTTGATAAATAATGCCGTAAACATGTGATCAACAAGGTACATTGACTGGAGAGAGATCAATTAGTCATGCTTCCTGAATACCTTTTTAGTCACCTAACATGGTCTGAGACACGATCATTAAGAGGTTAATCTTGGTTGACTGGTTAATTTGACTTAAAGCATATCGACACTCCGTTTCTTTTCTCTTTACACGTTCTATTGATATACATCACAATATAAAAAAAAATATAGAATTCTTTTCTAATTTCATTCACTTTTATTTATTTATTAAACGTGTCTTTAAGGATATATAAATTGATTGGTTAATGTCTCAGTGTAGCCTATATATACATCAATATGTCTATCTTTGTATATATACATAAACTGAAAAATTTATCCAACATTTCTTAAACACAAAGGGTATTGATATCTTCTAAATAGTGAATCAAGTATTATTATTATTATTATTATTATTAGTATGTAAGTTGTTTATGGTATTAATAATTCCTCCATATTTTTAACAGCAAATTATATCAGAATTATTCTGTGAGACGTATTACGTGATATGAGTAATTTATTTTCCCGCGATTTTCTGAGTAATTGCAAAAAATAAGATTGCACATGATATATAACCATAATTTGCCTATATTTTCATAAAGACAAAAACAGAAATTTTCATCATAACATTTTTGCATTTCCTTTTTTCTCTTTAAATACTACTCACATTACCGAGTTAAACAACAGGTATGACTGCGAGGTCCACGTACTGAAGGTTACAGTGGGAGGGTGGAGTCACTTTTCCTATATAAAGTCCTGGACACCTACCCTCACCGTCACATTGTCCAGCTCCACAAGCTTCCAGCTCCTACAGTCATGGTACGAGTTTGTACTTAGGGACAAGTTGTTCTGAAACAGTTGAGTAATAATAAACTGCATGATATATTTTATTGGGCTGCTGTAATAACAATTCCTTTTACTTTCAGCAGTCCCTGACATTGACGGTGGTGATAGCCGTGATGGTTGGAGTCTGTTATGGTGGATTAATTGGTGGTCTTGGTGGCTATGGTGGGCATGGTGGCTATGGTGGACATGGTCTTGGAGGCTATGGTGGACATGGTCTTGGAGGCTATGGTGGACATGGTGGCTATGGTGGTCTTGGCGGTCTTGGCGGTCTTGGTGGTATTGGCGGCCTTGGTGGATATGGCGGCTATGGTGGATCACAAGGTTTCGGTGGCTTGGGCGGCTATGGTGGAGGATTTAATGGAGGATATGGTAAGTATTAAGTTTCTTAGCTATTTTTTCCTACATA